AACTCTTAAAAATCTTTGCCGTTCATTTTTTTCACCTATTGCTAAAATACGTGATACAGATTCTTCTGACAATGATGATGTTAAGCATTTTCGAGGCATTGAATTTTATTAAATCTAAAAGTTTCCTATTTATAATAAATCTGATTAGATGTCTTCGGAGAATATCCCCAAAAACTCTATTATGTCCTAGAGTAAGACGTACATAGATAAGTATAGGAGTTATACTAAACAGTTTATTTTTTTTTGATGAATTTTTTCGAGCAAAGATCGGCAAGTGGCACCCATATATTATATGAATACATGTTTAAATTCAAACACTATTGAATGATTAGCTGTATCAGTTAATCAATATCTCTTATACCTATCTATCTATCTACCGCTTACCATAGGACATAATGGAGTTTCTGGAGATACTCTCCGAAGAGATCATATGATAAATTTGAAGAAAAAAATATAATATTTAAAAACAAATTTACATGAGCACAAAGGGAAATTACGCAGGTGCTTGCAAATTTTCATAGACGACAAAAACAAGACAAAATTTATATATAAAAAAACAATACACTGCTAAATAAATATATATTGTAGTCACTCTTTACAACGAAGTTACATGATAACTCTTTATACATCTACATCTGCTTTTTGAGTTGTTTGATAAACAACGAACAAAAAAAACAATACAAAATTATTATTCATCTGATCATATATTATTAAATGCTGATGGTAATTCATCAATAAGATTAACTTATTGTAAACGAATATGATCTTGAAAAAATTCCAAATCACTTCAACTATTGAATCTATCATTTGTTTTTCCAAAATAAATTCAATTAAATGTCTGACAAATTTTATTTTTTATTTCTTCAGTCATTTTATCAATATTAATAATATGTTGAGAAATATCTATTAGTTAATTATCCTTAATATTTTATCGTTGTTCTTGAACAGAAGAATTGATTATTATTTCAACGAAGTTGTTTTACTTGGTACATAGTGATGATAGCACAAACTTTTGTATTTAAATTGCATTATTACCTTATGCATTTCATTTAAAAGTATGAGTTGGTTATTGTTGTTCTTATTTTTATCAATGTTGATAATTTATAATGGAATTAACAGTAATTGAACTAGAATAATTAATTTCATGATACGAGTAAACTTTAATTCGTCATTAATCAATATTTTTACTGAACAAAATAGCACTCATGATTTTTTTTTTTTGGTAAATGATTACATAAAACTTCATATAAGCATCTTAATGTGTTTGACTAAACAAAACATCAACAATTGTACTTCGTATACGATGTGATACATTCGTATCAGAATGAACAGTAATAATTTCAGCATTTGAATCATGTATACAAAAACAGTCTATTAGATTTAAATAAACAATTTAGTTTAATACAAATTATTATTGTTTATTTTTATTAGTACGCTTTGCTGGGTGTGAGTGTAGACGGTGAGTATGTTGATACACATACTCACACCCATTTTCTCGATGCTCTTCATTGTTTTATTGCCCATCCACGAAAAAATTGTTTACAATCTATAATTTCAATAAGCGGTTATCTGAATTTCCTGAATGAAGCATTTTTATAGTCTTGAGCTTAATAAAGATCATATTCGATCGCAATCATGACATTTTTTAGAGATAAAAATCAATAATCTGAATTTTTGCATGCATGTAGCTTTCGGTCGATGGTTTGATGAATCCTTCATTAAATGTTGTGGTTTTCTCGTTTCATCTCATCTGAGTCGAAAAAATCGATATGAACCAATTGGTATGCATATTTTTAGGGTGTGGGTGTGGGTGGGTGTGGGTGAGGGTGTGGGTGAGGGTGGTGTGGGTGTGGGTGTGGGTGTGGATGTGGGGTGTAGGTGTCGGTGTGGGTCTATCTTCTCTTTTTACACCCACACTCACACTCACACCCACACCCGCACACCCACCCACACCCACACCCCACACCCACACTCACAGCCACACCCACACCCACCCACACTCCACCCACACACTCATAGCGACACACCTAAATGGTATTACCAAGTGAACGTCCAACAGTTACATATTCTACAGGCTGGTAAAAAGAATAATTTGTGTCTTGAAAAAAAGTTTGTAATAAAATTTGACAATAGTATTAACAGGAAAAGTACATAACTTACATTTTTCTATCTGAATAACGATTATCGTAGATGAAACAGGTTGTTCAGAACTTATAACAATATTCATCTCTGTTATGATATCTAGTGATTTTGTTGATGTCATATATTCGGTGTCCTCTATACAGATTATATGACATCTAGCTTTCATTTTCAATGAACTACATATTTTTATTACTTGTGGCTTTTGTTGTTACTGGGTTAGATATTGGACAAGATGCTGGAAAAAAATCATCATGACTTGTGTGTTTATACTAATTTGATTATAATGTTTAAAGATAAACTTACGTTTAAAATATTAATATAATATTATTGCCAACAGCATGCATAATTCAACACAAATAACAGCCAATATTAGTGCTAAAAGCTTTCTTTTTTGGGCTCCACCAGCACTATAACCCATTACTGAAACTATTTTTCGGAGAATTTATATAGATAATTATATACCTGTTTATAACCGAACATTCTGCTTGACTACCCGTCTTCAGAAGAATCAGATCGAATTTAACTGAAATTGTTGGTAGAGGTGCCACTCACTAGTGAAAATGAAATCTGTGATGTGTGCTACTCGACAGATTGAATTGAATAAATATTTAAAAACAACTTTGTTCTAATTTCGAAAAGGAAATAACAAAAACGCGTTTTCATATAGAATTTAGAATGGAGAAAAGTTTTTATCATTAACAAATAATTCATCAAGAATGTTTTTATTTTGATTGATATTATACGCATGAGAAAAAGTTAGCAAAACAAATTAAATTGAGTTGATAAGAATAAAGTGTTCTTCATCCATTCTAAACAACAATCAATCTCTGCGAATGAATTACAGCCGCCTCTGACAGATAGACTTCGAAAAACGGTAGAAACTTGAAGGCACCTATATCTAGTAACCTGATTCAATGGTTGACTCTGTGCGATTGCAACCGAAGCTAGCGAAATACGGCCATCGAGTCTTACTAATGGATTCCTGATTTCAGAGTCATAGTGCTTTTTTGAAATTTTTCGATAGGAAGCGACGACATTCCAGCGTGTTTCTGTCTGAAAGTGTAAACCAAATTGACTATGTTGAACTGAGTCGTTCGGAACATAGTACTCTTCAGGGCTGTGTAACTAAATCTATAATTGAAAATAAAAGATAATTATTAGTTATCGCATATTAAACTGAAAAGAAAAATGCAAAGAAAAACAGAACAATCAACATGAATTTTTAAGATAGAAAAAGAATCGAACTATGTTGATGAATTCCTTTATTTCTTAATAATGATGTTATAGTCACATGTTATATTTCTTGACTCATCGATATTTGTTTATTCAGTTCGCATTCCTTGATGCTTTATTCTCTCTTATATAATGCTCTCTCTTCTCTCGCTTGAGTCAGTTATAGTTGTTAATTCGAAATAAAATCGAACTAAAAGAAAGAAGCAAGAGGGGACCTCTGATAGATGACAATAATTTTAATCATATGAAAATGAAAAACAGAAAACAAAGAATAATAATACTTAGTTCATGTTTGAATATATTGATAGCAGATTAATATGTACTTGATGATTGCTATAATATTCTCGTTGATTATCTTGTATTTGTTGCAGAATTCATTCTTCTTAGTCTTCAATAAACACTCACACCCTACTTTTGTACGGGTCAAACATTTATTAATGCCATAAGTATGGTAATCCAGATATTGATCAAACGTATAAGCTGTTGATTTCGTAAGAACAAACGAAACTAAAGCAGCAGCTTTTCTCTTCTTATTTTCAAAAAAAAATATGCCATTCATATTAGATGTGCACTTGTTGACGTCATGTCACTGTTGTGTTGACGAGAAAATATATTAGATATTTATTTTCATTCATTCTTACACCTGTATCAAATGTGTGATTTTACTCATGTTTGAATCGCCTCATTCAATATTTGTTTCTTTGTCTGTAGCTCTCTCTCTTACCATGTGATTGTATAAAAGGTATATGAAAGCAAAAAATAGTTATTTATCCCATTATTTTTACCAACATCGGCTATCGATCTAAAATCGCAGAATTTGAAATCGACTTGTATTCACTTGATAAAATTCATTTCATAAGCAAGTACTCATTTTTGTGATTGTCTCTCAACAGTAGATTGTCGTTTTATCGAAATAAAATGCATCTGAATTAATTATGATATGAGCTAGTGAGCATGGATTGACAAATGAAAAATTATGAATAAGATTTAAAATCCATCGAAGATAACTGAAATTCAATCAATATCTCAGTTATAGGGCATAAGTACTTGAAGGTTCCCTCTTGAAGCTGGGTTTCAGCGGATTTATTGAAACCTACTCCAAAAGAGTGAACTCTTCCCAAGTGATATCCTTGTTCATGATTTTGACTGTGCTAGTTACAGGACCTGAAAGCTGATTTAGTAAATCAATTTATGTGAGAAAAAACGGATGTCAATTTTGTACATAGAGTTCATTGTAAAACTTTTCACCATGAAAAAGTTCAAATTAATAAAAATATTCAAGACTATAAGTGATGTAACTTTTTAGTGATTTTTGAACTATTTTTCAAAAATCGAGAGCCGACTTTTTTAGTTTTCGATAAATCCCCTCTTTCTAATGAACTTAACATTCATCTAGGGGTGAGAAAGTTATTGTTATTGTTATTGTTATTAATAACAATAAAAATAACTTTTTGATTCAAAACAACCAATGAAACAATTCTAAGCGTAGTTTGTACGAACATCAAACGATCACTTTAGTAATACAGTGTCTTTTCTTACCATTTGATATAAGAACTTCTGGTGAATATTTTGAGAAATTTCAAAATAACATATTTTGTTATTGTTATTGCACAATAACAATAACAATGGCAATAACAATAACAATAACAATAACAATAACAATAACAATAACAATAACAAAATATGTTATTTTGAAATTTCTCAAAATATTTACCGCAAATTCTTATATCAAATGGTAAGAAAAGATACTGTATTACTAAAGTGATCTTTTGACGCTCACACAAACTATGCTTAGATTTGCTTCATTGATTGTTTTGAATCGAAAAGTTAATGTTATTGTTATTAATAACAATAACTTTCTCACCCCTACATTCATCTATGATACGGACTAAAAAAAAGTGTGATATTCACGCTTATTATGGTTCATACTTCGACTCTATCCATGCAATAATCATAGTGGGAATCACTCTTCTTAGCTTATATGTTAATTCTAAGTTTTTTGCTGTAAAACTTTAGCGTTAAATCGGTATTAAATATAGTGTCAATGGAAGAAAGTGATCGAAAGACAAAGCAACAACAATTAATCGCATTTATCGATTCTCAATCGCTGGAAGATTTTCGTAATCTGTATCGTGAATCATTAGGTATTCTAAAAGATTACGATCATGTTGAACTGCTTTTACGCGCCTCTCGCTACGGTCCATTATCATTTGTTCAAAACATATTAAATGATGGTTCTGCAGCGGTCAATGTAAACTGCCGTCATCTGTCGTCTGAAGTTTCACCTCTTGTAGTCGCCATTCGTGCTCAAAAGCATGATATTGTTAATTATTTAATTCAAGAAGCTAAGGCCGATGTAAATTGGAGCTGTGAGAAGAAAACAACAACATGTCTTCATGAGGCTATACGTCAACGTGATCTATTTACAACAAAACTTCTGCTACAATATGGAGCCATTGTTGATAAACGTCACTTATACATTGCTATAATCGAATGTCTCAGTCCAAAAAATACAGTAAAACAATTTCTATACTTGTTCTCTTCTTGACCAAATAATTGATTCTTGTTTTTTCAGGAAACATCTCCTCTAGCATTGTTCGATATGCTTGTTGATTACCAGCCTGATTTACTTGACGACAGTAGTCAAAAAGCAGCAGTTGAATTTGTCATGCGTCGAACTCATTGGTCATTACATTTTCCATATTATCATGTTGCTTCTCTGCTAGAACGACTAGTATCGAATGAGAACTATAAATTAATTACACATCTACCGATCTCATCAACAATTGAACCAACGATAACAACATCTTCAAACATTCATCGAACACAGGTGGCTATAATCGGCGCTGGACCCGCTGGTTTGATGCTAGGTGCGCTTTTATCTCAATCAGGTATCGATTCAATCGTGCTTGAGCGTCATTCTCGCTCATATGTTGAATCAAATATTCGAGCTGGATTGTTGGAACAAGCAACTGTAGATATTCTCGACGAAGTAGGAGCTGGTGAGAGAATATTACAGAAAGGTTTTATTCAGCGCAATATTTATATGCAATTCGACGGTGAACGCATGATCCTTCCTCTGAGCGAACTTACACATGGCAAAGTAGTAACCACTTATGGACAGCAGTTTGTCTTACAAGATCTTATAGAGCAACGAATTAAAAGTGGTCGACGAGTTTGGTTTGATATTGAATCTGTAGAAATAAAACGACACGACATTGCAGGTAACACTTTTAAAAACAAAAATAATGACAAAAATGAGATTGATCATGTAATTTTAGACGATGGCTCTGGACCATTGATTTGCTTTACTCGATGTGGAGATTCTAACGAAGAAATTATACTATGTGATTTCATTGCAGGATGTGATGGTGTATTAAGTACATGTTGCCGTCATTCTGTTCCTCCTGGTATTCTTCATACTATAGAACGGGTCTATCCATTTGCTTGGCTTAGTCTTCTTGCTCAAGTTCCACCAAGTACCAAAGAACTTATTTATAGTGCTAATACTACATATGGGTTTGCTTTGCACAGCATCCGTCCACCTGCAAGTACACGTTTTCATTTACAAGTTTCTCTTAATGACACTTTAGCTGATTGGCCTGATGAACGGATCTGGAATGAATTAAAATTGCGTCTGACACCTAACAACCTTTCATGGACACTGAACAAAGGACCAATCGTTGAACGAGCCTTGTTTCCAATACGTGCTTCTGTCACAACACCAATGCAATATAAACGTCTTTTCTTTGCTGGTGATGCTGTTCACATTCTACCACCAACAGGCGCTAAAGGTCTGAATACAGCTGTAAAAGATGTTCAAATATTGGCGCGTGCATTCGAGGATCATTATAATAATGACCGATTGGATAAACTTAATAATTATACAAATAATTGTTTACCACATATATGGCAAGCACAAGAATTAGGAATCTACCTGACGTCTCTACTACACAAAATGGATATTTCGAACAACTGTGGTTGTAATGATGGTGACTCAATGGAGTTTAATAAACAACTTCAAAGAGTACAGCAGCAATCTTTGCAAAATTCGAAGGCATTACAACAGCACTTGGCTGAAACGTATGTGTAATAAAGCCTAGAAACTCAAAACTAAATCAGGTTTTATTGACTATATTCTTTTTTATTTTGAAGAGGAGAACATAACGGTTTTTTTTCTTGTATAATATTGTGTTCACTAATATTGTTCAAAAGTACTGTTTCTGACTTCAAAGCAAACGTAGAAGCGTTTCATAATTTCTAAAGAACATCATCACGCAATTTTTCTTTCATTATTCTGATCTGTAAATCATCTAAGTCTTTTTCTGTTGTATTTTAGACATTTGTTTTGAAATGTCTTCATCAAAAGAAGTCCAAGGGTTGGGGGTGTGGGTGTAGATTATGTAGATATGACATATGTCACAGGCAAATTTACCTGAAATTCTAATTTGAATTTCGGGCAAAATTGGTTTCTTTTTGACGCTTCTATCAAATTCAATTTTGACTAGGCAGAATTCGTTATCTGTTCGTGATTATTTTATATCATCTAACTACCAATTTCTTTCATTTTCATAAACAAAGTTCATTGACTGTTAAATGGCTTTCGATATTTTCTTTTGCAATATCAACAATGACATTACAACAATCAACTTATTCTCATCCTATTATCAATGATTTTGCACTTGAAACATTTTATAAACTTGCTAAAAACATATAGATACGTTAAATCCTAAATTTCATAATAAAGCTGCTATCACTCGTGTTCAAAGCGAAAAAATAATCTATGTACTTCAGAAGAAGCTATCTACTGAAAAGGTTTCCGGTCGTTTTTCTCACTGGTGCAAACAAACGTCTGCGCTTCGTCTTATCGCTGGTCATGAACTTTTATGTGATTTTAAAGAAGTTAAACCTGTTCTTTAATACGAAGACATATAGGTTCTTCTTCAGAATACATACCCTATGCACACACTGGCTGGCACGACAACGAGTGTGGGTGAAGGGGTGTGCGTATTCTGAAGAAGTACCGCTCAACCCAATTTCATCGCTTGCTCGAGAAACATTCGATTCTTTTAGACAATTACCCGACGTCAATCCATTTTCATCAAAACAGGGAATACAGATACTGTAAATAAAAAATTATATAGTCATAATAAAATTTCACCAATCATCAATGTCCCCATGTCCCCATCATCAAAAAAATTACTAATATATTATCACATAAAAAAATACTAAGCGTCTTATATCTTTCTCATTAAATAAACTAAAAAAAACTTTAAATTTTGAATAAACAAATAGACTTATATCTTTATAAAAAATATTGTTTTTTGAAAAATCAAAAATAGCAATTTCAATGTCAATTAGATTTCAAAGCACCTCCAACATCTATATTCAAACAAACTCAAAATGATTTTTTCATTTAATACTAAAGTAATTAAAAAAGGTGATAAAGAATGCGGAAACCTCTGTATCAATTTTTTCTTTAATCTTAGTTATACAAAGAGCTAATTTTGCCTAGGCAAAATCATATCTAATATTTTCAAAAAAACAAATTCTACCTTTAGTTCAATTCTGCCTGAATATCAAATTTGCCTAATACATATGCACACCCACACCCATGAGGCTGAGGGTGCTATGTCTAAAGTAAACTAGTGCCGCTATCGATCAAGTGGGAAGATACCAAATGAATTGACGTTAATACCGAAAACTTTAAAGGATTATCGTCGATTGAGTCAACCTCAACATGTTGTTAAAGATATTTGCTTAATTCATCATCGTGCTCGTCGTCAGATTGAAAATATGGATTTTACTAACTTATTGTTAGTAAAAGATTTTTTTCATCATTTACCAAAAGCTATATTATAAATAGGTGAATCGATTTGCCCAGTCACAAGATTAACTCGTAGTCAGCTCAGTGCGAAGCATGCAGTACCACTTCACCTCGCGACGAGACAGGAAAACTCGACGAATCTCGAATCTCTGATCCACATCCATACTCATGCATACATTTGATATTAAGATTAATTGGACTTCTAAGAGTATAACTTATACAGAAAGAGTTGCAGATTCAGTGGAGAGTCAAATGATGCTCAATAACAACTGTTATTTTTTTATAGGATGTCTTTTATGAATAGTTCGATCGTACTCCAAGTTCTCATTCTGTGTTGCCTCGCATGTCATTGATTTACTGTATAAACATTACCAATCTTTCTTTAGAAATTTGTCTTTTATTTTCAAGTCAATGAATCTCACACAACATCATCAAATCCTATGATTGAGAATAATGAACCAGCACCTTCTTCTGAAACTGTAATCAAAGAACATGCTGATAATAGTACGGACGAAAAAATTGAAAAGAATCATGAGAAAATCGAAAAGAATGATAAAGAACTACTATCAGAATTCGAAATATCGAAAGAAAAAATTTTAAGTGATGATGATAAATCATATACTTATCTTTTTTTCAGTATAAATTTTATTTTTTTTATAGACAATGCCGAAGAATTATTTCAATTAGCTTTTTCATCTATGCAAAATACTGTTTCAGCATAAATTTTTACAACCATCAGCACCTTCAAACTTATACATAATACCCTCATTCATTTCTTCATATTATTTTTGTTTTTGATCGTTTGTTTTTAGTATTCATTCAATGAAAACATTCGATTAATGATAAAGTTTGATGATTCCGATAATGATTTTTTTTAAATAAATGAATGCCTTTAAAATGTTTATCGATGTACTTTTTTTTTCTTGATTATAAATTGATATTACATTAAGTGAAATTAATATTTCGTTTTATTTTTTCGATATATAAATCAACGAAATTCTTTCTTTGTTTGTTTGTTAGTCTATTTTTCGATAATTTATCTCATCAAAACTATATGCAATATCTGCCACTATTCTTTTTACATACATTTCAATTTGAATAAAGATTGAAATAAATATAAAATTATTTGCTTATGAAAAATGCTTGAATTTCAATGCTGAAGAAAAGATTTTATCCTCTAAACATTTTTTTTTTGCATCTATTCTTTTTTTTGTTTTCTCATATGATACAATAACTATGCTTTTCTTTTTCTTCGCTACTTTTATCTCTTTGTCATAGAAATCTTGAGAAGAAAAAGAAAAATCAGGCTTTTATGACTTTTACGCCTTTTAAAAGTGCAAAATCACTAGACTGAAAAAATATTTAATTAGTAATATTTTAATTGAATAGAAAAATAAATTCTATACTAACAAATTAACAATTATAAATAAAAAATATTTATTTACTTGAATTATCATAAATAATCTTCATATATGGACAATTTCAAACAAAACGATACATACCACCTATCTTTCATTTGACTTTGATTTTTTACAAGGATTATTTTTCTAAATAAGTTCTTATAACATAAACATATGTAAAAATGTTGATTCTTTCAATTGATTATGAATTAAAAAGTAACCAGCAGGTATCTCTCTAACTATACGAACAAAAAAATCTGAAAACTTTAGAATAGACTTGACGGCACGAACAGCATCTATAATAAGATTCCCAGCACAATCAAACCCCGAAAAAGTTTCTGTTTCAAATTGGTTTTCTCAAGATCCTATCAAGTTCAGCAACACATCATTTTGCTTACCATCATTTAGAGGTTCTGAAAAAGAATAATGTACCGTTTGAAATTGGTTTTGAACTTCTTATTCGATTATAAGAACATTTTTTCGTACTGCATCAAGTCTCTAACGAAATATAAATCAATTTTTTTAAAATCTAGGCACCATTAGAAAAAAACATTGAATAGAGATTTTGTAGCCTTAAAAGTTGCCTAGAGAATGTACTATTTAATTATCAAAAATGATGCCTTGAATCAGAGTATTTCAAAACTAAAATGCATGCAGTGACAGTCGATGTCGTTTTTTGTGTCACATTGTTAATGCCAGTTTTTTTTGTACTGATAACTTCCCTGAATAATGATCTCCAGCGCTGATTTTCTCAGCATATCTAGAGTAACTTAACATGTATGTAATATATATAAATTAGTTCAAGGAAAGTTCATTATCTGGAGATATTAACGTGTTTCAATTTTGTGAAGTTATGTCTCAAACAAATGACTTTGTCCATATAAGGCTTTGAAGTTTTATTAATAAAAATGATTAAAGTAATATTTTTGTCCTTTTACATTCGGCGAACATTATAATTAATATTAACACAATATCGCTCTAAACGCTCAGGACCTTGAAATTTGAGAATAATCTTGTAGTTTGAATCAGAATATTGAATAAGTATTTTATCTTTCGTTGTTACACATCTTTCTTGATTATTAATTATTCGATAGACATGTGAGACGGCTGACATTAATTGTTCATTATCGAGATAGATAGCATATTATTGATGTTGTTGTGTAAATGCTGTCTCAATAATTAATGTTAAATTATATCGTGGATAAGACCAAAAAACATTCATCGTATTACATTTTGCATAGTTAGTATTAGTTAAATTAAAAATACCTGAATTACAACAATTGGGAACGGATACTGTAGTACTACATGTTTCACTTAGATAGACTTGAGCTTTGCATGAATTAACAGCACTATTCTCAACAATTAGAACAGATATTAGAAATAATAAAACAATTGATGACAATGCAGATGACATTATTGATAGATGTTTGACTATGACCTGTATTTTCAGCTGCTTGTATATATCTATAAAATGAAATAACTCAAAAGATATAACGACGAACAAAAACAAAGCTCAAAAGAAAAAGAAGAAAGAACAAATAGCAATATCTATATATACTCCAACGTGGTCATCGTGTTGTTCTCTGGCTAAATAAAAATGGATCAGTTGTCTACTCAAAACTGATTCATTTCTCAGTGTTGAAAAATGTTTCAATGACGTCTCGTCTATACTCAAAATAAAGACAAATTTATAAGATCAGTTCACTTCGCTCTATTCTGCGATGTATTTTATTTCGAGCAGAACATTTGAGAAAGTCAAAAAGAATGAATATCAAAATGAGCCATTTATTAGAGATCACTCGTTAAAATATTCGTAATTCTGAGTAAAAGCTTTGAGATACTACAAACATTGGAATATCCAAAAAATACTTAATCTGATGGGTTGAGTATTTCTAATTAGTTGTTTTGATTCTGATATACGGCTTGATACAGCAAAATCTATCGAAAAATATTCAAAATTCCGATATATGTTAAAATTTTTTCTGGGAATTTTATTTACGAATAATTTTTGAAACTCAAGTCCACAAAAACTAAAACGTAAAATTTTGTGTGTCATGACATTAAATCCTGTTATTAATTAAAAAAATGGACACAATTCATTAGCAAAGTTTGACACTGCTTAACTCAATTCTAGATTCTCTGGTGATAGCGATTTTAAAATTAGATACAACATAAAGAGGATCATTTCTTTTGCATGAATATGGAACCTACATCAGACAACTGCTTTAGCTGTGACTTGCGTGAGTTCTTCCTCTTCGAACTTAAAAACAAAAGGATTTTTCCGAAGCGTATAGTATTTTGAATAGTCTGAGTCAAAAATTCAATATTTTACAGTAAAACATGAATCAAAATTCCATTTTGGTTCAAGTTATTATAGGAAAAATCTCAAGAATCTTTCACATCTATGAAAATGAAGCTTCCGGAAATCCTTGAGTCTAGCATGAATTTTACTCGACTTATCAAAGTGTATTTGTATTGAAAGTTTAAGAATTTTTAGTCAATATGATCCTCAAAACTTGTAGAAATGAAAATACACTTCACCATAGTGAAATACGAAATATTGTTTCTACATCTATTGATATAGTCATATGGAATTCTGTGTGTCCTGTTCTACTTTGCAGATGAAGCGATTTAGATACGTGTACAACAAAATACTATCACCTTCTTTACGTACTTATGATTACCTGTTTGAAGTCATCGATGACGATGATAATGAAGATAAAAAATCAATGAATAACATAGTTGCAATCCGTTCGAGTGTTCACACAAAAATTATTGCAACTCAATAATGTTTTCTTCGCACAATATGTAATATTAGTCAAAATAGTGGGATTTTTTCATGGTGAATATCCTACAAGGATACAGAGAGAGAGAGAGAGCAGGCGCTCATTATCTTGATGAGGAGGGAAATAACTTCGCTGTAAGAAAAGAAAATGTAATAACAAATAAATGGGAAAAAATCGTATCTATGTCAATACAATAATGAATCGTAGGGAGAAAAAAAAAGCATAGAATAGTTTATACGTACGAAATTAGTGAATCACCTCATTTAGTGAAGCTATGCATAAACGATGCACATGTTAATGAATAAATGCATGACAAATATAACTACCTATTGCATTATCGAATATTGTATTATCTCAGTGTTCAAGAATGTATGGAATACTTCATTTCACCTGAAGCGTTTACAACTGCCAGCAAAGACAGAACAAAGATGAACCAAATGAGTAATTCTGGAAGAAAAATAACTAGTTACTCTGTCGTACTATTCAGATAACTATTTGTAGAATAGTCTTGATTATTTCTTTTATAACCGTCAATTAAAAAGACAAATTATTCAAAAACTATTTTTTGGTTCAACTAATATTTAAACAGATCGTCTTTGAAACTAATGCTTAACCTATTTTTCGAATATTCTTTTTTTTCTAAAATAAATCAGTATAATAGTATGTTTGTAAAAATTATATACAAATCGTAAGCATGAGTTCTAATCAATAGTTTATTGAAAAGATATGAGGTTTTCATCAGAAATCTCATGTAATATAGGCATAAAATAACTGAATTTTCTATTTTTGCAAGTATTTTGATTATTTTTCAGGCAGAAAATACTAACTCAAATTATACCGAATATCAATCAATAGAAAAAATTCAAATTCCTCAAAGTTCGATGTAATTCTTTCCAATTGTATTTCATAGACGATTTCAGAAAAAGAATGGTTAATGAACCTCAAAAGATTGGCATCTATGATGATAAATTATTGAAAATTGTTACAAATCACAAAAAGATTGCATTAGTAAGAGAAATATTCTGTCATGTCGCGTGAGAACTATTTTGAATGTGTTTTTTTTTCTGTGCTGAAATGTTGTTTGCGTTCGTTATCTCTACATTAGTGAACAAGAGTGACATGATATAGTTATAAAGAGGTCGATTTTCAATTGCTGTCTTTGAGATTTGATGCTGACCGGTGTTTTAGTTATAGCTTGATTCAGTCTTGACATTTGATGGAGTGCTAATGGATCTGAGTTTTCGGTTTGTCCATATCCATTTTACGCTTACGTTTCAAAGGAAACATTGTACTCATAAGATGAGTCTTTTCTTGTTTGACTATAATAGTGAGCATTAAAAGCATTATTTTAGGCTCACTTTTCATGACAAACAGAAGTATTAGATCACAACTTGTGCTTATTCATGGATAAAGATTCTTTTGAATTCCATAATTTTTTGTAATTGATGCTAATTACTTCAGCAATTTCATTTACCGCCTTTGTCTTTACATTATTGTTATATTAACCGTGAATAATCATTCAAAAAGCTTCATTATTATTTCTTTTTTGATAACAGTTGATTCGAGTCTATAACAAATCATAACTTTATTGATTCTTCACAATGTTATTTTCCATAATTTAACTCAATTTAATTATTAAGATAGCCTCCATCAGCCCATCGAGCATAATTCTAATGTACGAGGCACTCGATAAATTTTTTTTAAAATTTTTTCTCTCATTCAATGCGTCGACGTCTAAAACCACCAACCTCAATATTTTAAGGTTTAATACCCTTCATATAAAAAGTTATCCAGTACTGACTTTTAGCACTACCATACCCTTCTGAGAAAAAACAAGAAAAAGTACCCTATAAAAGAGATGCCCGCGTACATTTAACCGATCATTAAAATTTTTAATGACACATGTCAGAAGAGGGTGTGGGTGTGAGTGTGGGTGGGTGTGGATGTGTGCTGTGGGTGTGAGTGTGGGTGGGTGTGGATGTGTGCTGTGGGTGTGGGCGTGGATGTGTGCTGTGGATGTAGATGTGGATGTGTGCTGTGAGTGTGGGTGTGGGTGTGGTTTAACTTAAGGCCAACACCCACCCATACCCACACAACCACACCCACACCCACACCTACACCCCTGATTTACATCTTCATAATTTTCTATAAAAGCAACTTACTGCTCCAGAACCTTATGCGCGACTTGAGTTTCTTATGTGGATATTGAAGAGAGCGAGAATACTTCAATATAGTCGACTGGTTTTATCCGATCTTCTGCAATTTATTAGTCAGAGTTTTACTAGTCAAGACTTTAAGTATTGTTGATACCGTCCGAAGAGTCACAACAAATAAACCGGCAACCCACTTCGCACCGACTCGTCACAGGCAAAAGCGATTTGTAAGCTGCTGACGGCATCTCGCAGGTGGTCTGTCAAATTGAGATCTTCTTGAATAGCCTTCAGAAAATACTGTTGTTCACGGCTGCACAACTCCTGATGATCAGGCTCGTCCTGCATGTCAATCCAAGTATCATCCTGCATGAACTGATTGACATCATTCAGCGCAGCATGATGTACTCGTAGAGATTCAGCATTGGTATGCAGATCCACATTGTTCGATTTTCCATCGGCTCCAGCGATCTTAGCGACAATGGATACACAGCCTTTCGGTCCAATTACGTCCTTCACAAAGAAAGCGGTTTCGCTCATCATTGGGCCCCAACCGGCTTCGTACCAGCCTACCGAACCATCTGCGAATCGAATTTGCAACTGACCGTAGTTATAATTGTCCTCCGGTATATCATCAGTTAACCGTGCCCCAATGGCGTTAACCTGAATAGGCTTTGAACGAGTCATCTGGCACATTATGTCTATGTAATGCACTCCACAATCGACAATTGGACTAAGACTTTTCATTAAATTTTTGTGGACAATCCACATGTTTCCATGGCTTTGTTGATTCAAATTCATTCGCATCACTAACGGTTTACCTAATCCTTGAGCTAATTCTACAAATTTTTTCCAGGAAGGATGGTGGCGCAGGATGTAGCCCACTACTACTTTTTTTCCAGCTTTCTCGGCAGCTCCCACTACTCGCTTGGCACCCTCTACAGTATCAGCGAGAGGCTTTTCAATAAACACATGGCAATTATGTTCAAGGGCCATAACAGCAAAGGCTTCATGCGTATCAGGATAAGTAGAAATACAAACGGCATCTGGTTTTGCGCTCGTCAAGGCAATATTAATATCGTCAAACAGGGCATAGCCACCGCCTAATCGTTCATTGAGTACGTCTTTGCTTTTCCCGGTAGAGACTAAACCACAAATTTGGACTCCAGGAAGCAGCGAATAAGCTTTGGCGTGCGCTGTACCCATGTTCCCGCACCCAACAACAAGAACACGCACTGTATTAGAGGGACTTGACATAGTTGATTTCGCTGGAATACTATAAATAAAAGAGCCGCACGTCGTACTTTACTAAATCCGTTCTTTCACCGGATACATTCTTAACAGAATTTATTTTCGAACTACATTAGTTAACACAACCTTTTTTGTGCGATGCAACTATATTCATCCTATCATTACCTTTCTCTACCTCAAGTTGGATATCGCTCAAAAAGTGGCAATTAATTCCAGGAAATCTTTCAAGTTATTGACTTCATTAGTCTTCAGATACTTTACAGAGCAAAAGGTTAGAATTCTGACTCTCTTAACCTCAAAACATACGTGTCGGTTTATATTTAACCTTATAAAGATTCTGGTAACAGGATAGTCACTCCATTTTGACACTTTAGGGGATCATTTCTGAAAATAGCGGTCACAGCCTCAAAAATTTTATACTCACAACTTAAACTACTTCAGAGCACCAAGGTATACTCTATTCTGTTTGAACTACATGCTGAAGTTTAATAAAAGTTTCAGGTTTAAATTCGTTTTCCTAATGAGATACTTCTATATCTTCACTTTCGAATGGTAAAAAAATGGAGATCTTAAGTACTTTCTATGCAATGTTATTCAAAAATGATGACGTCTCTTCGTTTTCGAAACAGACAATAGTCGATTTTCATAAATCCTATTATTCGTTACTCACTCACTTGTTATCCGAATTGAAAAGTATTATTATATTTCAATCTACGCAAAAGTATAAGAAAAAATTTCACAAGCTCCCTGTAAAAATATATGAAAGAATAAAAAAAAAAAACGTAAGATTATCATAGATATTTAGGCACACTCATTGTGCTTGATAAAGCAAAAAAAAAGAGATAAGAAAATTACTTTTCTTGCTTTTTGTTGCACCTGTATGCAAACAATAAGAGCGTATAGATATAATAAGGCAAGCGCGAACGACTTTTTCTAAAGCTATATGCAGGAAAGACAGTTCATTACGCTTCAGAACTTAAACCATTTGCTTCAAAGTAAAACAATTATTTATAAAGAAACAATAATATGTTGAAGATTACATAGCTTTGAGAGCTCAATGAAAGATTATAGTTTTGAAGCCCTTAAAGTCATTGATAATGGAGTTGATCAGTGTGTGAAATAGGATAAACTTTATTCACTGTTAAACAGAGGTGGGCAAGCATCAAAACATATATGCCATCTAAAAGCGGGTGTGGGTGAGTGTGGGTGTGGGTGTGAGTGGGGGGGGGGGTGGGTGTGGGGTGTGTGTGAGTGTGGATGGGTGTGGAGTGTGGGTGTGTGTGAGTGTGAGTGGGTGTGGGGTGTGGGTGTGTGTGAGTGTGGGTGGAGTGGGTTTGGGATGTGGGTGTGAGTGTGGGTGGGTGTGGGGTGTGTGGCTGTGAGTGAGTGGATGTGGGGTGTGTGGGTGTGGGTGTGGGTGTGGGTGTGGGTGAGGAGAACAAAAGAGAACCATCCACGCCCATACACCCACACCCTGTCAGATCGCGTTTGATAGAATAAATCGTACTTTAGAAAATTTACTGCTTTTCAAAGCTTTCTCGTGAAGAGTTTAGCTTTCTCAGTTAATAATATAAAAATAATTCAATTATTAAAGAGTACTTAAAAAATCCCACTACGACCGATTGTTAGCAAATAAAAATACACCGTTTTGTTTGGTTTTCAATGCTCTATCCTTTGCTGTACTTCAAAAATCGAAAATTATTACAAGAATTTTCTCGCATGGTTATCTAACAATAATTAATAATGATAAATATTTAATTCTTATAATTAATAGTTTTCAAAACTATTTATAATAAAATATAGCCCATTGAATTCAGCATCTAATGGTATAGTTTTTGAAACTTTTCTGCTCTTAGATAACGAAAAATCGATGAAATACAAAACATTCCTTAAAATTTTGTCCGCTACTTAAAAGTAAAAATTATATTTCATTTTGTTGTTTATGTGAAACATATGAGCATTCTATTAATAAATAAATATTTTATATAATCAATGTAGCTTTCGGATCTTACAGATCCATCATCGTTACTATGGCTATGTATCAAGTCCTATGATAAGTTTTTATTAATTTTTTCAATGATTTTGAAGCACGATAGGCAAACAGTAGAATATTTTTAAATATTGATAATTGCTTTATGAAGTCTGAAAAGTATAATAATGATATAATGAAAAATTTATTTATTTATTGAATATTCATATGCTCAGCATGAACAACAGAATGAAATTTGATCTTCATTTTTATATTTATGATCAAAAGTAAGATAAATGTAGATTTATGCTTCATATATTAGCAAAAAAAAGAATTATTTTTACATCATCAGATATTAATCAGGAAAAATCTTTAGTATAACATCATTACATATTCATAATGAAAAAAAACACTTATTTTTACAACACTAGATATCATAAAGAAAAAAATTATAATTTAACATCATGTGATATTCACCATGAAAAAAGAATCGTATTTGAATTAAAAAGAACAATCAGTTTTTTTTTGTAAGATACTATGACAACATAATGAACAGAACATACATAATTTTCATTTTTTTTTAAATGAGAATGACCATCATAACGAACGTCGCGATTGATAACCATAATTGTAAATCATCTTTTTTAATACGTTTTCTTCTACTCCGAATGAAAAAGAGTAACCCCCCCCCCCTCATAATAAAAGACCCCCCCCCCCAATATTAGAAGACCCCCCGTTTTAGAAGACCCCTCCGGAGGAGTCACTTCATAGAAATTTCTTTTTTTCACTAGCAAAAATTTACAAAATTTACAAAAGTTCGCTGGACCACAATAGAAGACTCGGGGTCTTTTATTGTAGAGGGGGGGGGGGGGGAGGGTTTAGTCGATTATTCTTATAAAGATATAATCTATCTTTTGCCAATATACTCTCTCGAGATAAATAACGTTTTTCTTCGCTTGTAAAATTTTATTGACTAGTTTCTGTCAAGTTGTAACTTGACGTCATCAGAATCTACAGAAAACTTATTTTACAAGAAAAACTTATCTTTACAACAACAACGCTAAAATAAAAATATTTCCAAAGGGTCTAAAGGACCCTAAGAAGGAACAATAACAAGAAAGGTACAAGAGAAAATAATCCATCACCAAATGCCGTTGAAGTCAAAACCATTTGTTAGTTTTTCGACGGACCATTGTTTGTGGCGTGTCTAGTACTTAGATTTAATTGTAAGTATAAATTGCGTGGTTTCTTTTTTGCAAGATAATCTTGAAGATTATCTAATCTTTTAGAACCTACAATCGGTTTTATATTACAAATGGCTGTATCTGAAAAACAATGTTTCCAGAGTTGATGAAATCTGGTCGGAAAATCTTGCATTCCTTTTGAAAAAGAGAAATGACAAAAAATATTGACCTCGAAATCAATTTCAGCCTTCTTTTCATCATTGACTGCGGCATTTAAAAAAATTCTTCTTATTTTAGAATAATTCTTTGTTGGCACCGCACATTGAAATGTTTGTAAAACTCTTTCAAATTGTTTAAGTACAAATTGTATTGGATATTTATTTAAAAGCAATGACATATATATATAAGCTTCTTCACGTTTAAATGTATCATAACTCGAAGAATATCTTATTGCTCGAACAAGAGCTACATAAGGAATATTCTTTTTTTGTATGTTGTGCATGTATGCTTGTGAAAGGGAGGAAATATGGTTCGTATGATGGTTTATAGTAAACTTCAGATACCAATTTTCCTCCTCTGTTCTCTAATTTAACATCAAGGTACTCTGCAGTATGTCCTATGAATTCTGAAAATACGATATTATTATCAAGTCTATTCCAGAATTTTACAAGACCTTTTAATATATCTGCATGTACATTTGACATGATAAATAAATCCTCTATATATCTATAATATAATGAACATGTTCTTTGAGCCCATTTGAATATTGGACGTTCAACAAAGTACATGTATGTATTTGCTATAGTGAGGGTGAGTGGCGAACCCATTGTACCTCCTTTTATTTGTTTATAATATGACCCATCAAGATAGAAATAATTATTTGTTATAACAGATCTGGTAAGAGCTAATATAATCTCTTTTTTAACACCATCGATTTGTTTTAAACCAGATGTTTCAATTAATCTTTTTATGACTGTTACTCCTCCTTCTTCAGGAAACATTGTATATAAATCAGTAACATCCATTGTTATGAATGATGTGGCTGGTGAAAGATATGTAGCCGACCATCTCTCAACTTGTTTTATTAATTGAACCCCATTCGATATAGCTGTTTCAGATGCTAATCGATCGAATAGAGGTCTTAATAAACCATCTAACCATTTCGATATGGCAATGGTTGAAGATTTGAGACCAGACATTATAGGTCTTAATGGTGTTCCTGGTTTATGTGCTTTTGGTAAGAAATAAAGGTGGGCTAATTCAGCCTCTTCTTTATTAACCTTTAATTTCTCATATTGCTTTTGTGTAATATGTTTGTTATACCATAAACCATAAAGAAAATTATTTGTACGTTCAACTAAAGGTTCAAGTGGGTTTACTGTACCCAAATCTTGATAAGCTTTAGTCTTAATCATATATGTTTGAGCCTTCACTTTATAGTCACCCAGTTTTCAGAAATGATGATGCCATTACAATACCATCACCACCATCACCAACAACAACAAAAACCAACAATCAACATCATATTTAAATGCTCTACAATTTGGTTATCAACATCCACAACACAATCAATTTGATTATCAACAACAACATTTTTATTTCCAACAACCATTTTTTGATCCAAACAATATGCCATTAAATTGGCAACGAGAAAATTGGTCGGGAGGATTCGTATATGGGCAACAAATGCCTTTACAACCACCACCATTTTATTATTCAATAGATAATTTGACAATGAATAAAAGTTCATCTATTTTTAATGGAAAGAACCAAATTCAAGGTCATTCAGTAACTCCTCATACACCACGACGTGGAATTCTGAAACAAACAGAAAAATGGAGAACACTAATGACACGTCGGTTAGTTCATTTCATGCCGGAACGTTGGCAAGGACAAGAAACAGCAGCTAATAATATGACTTCACATGAATATCGTGGTATGTCAATAACGACACCCATTCAAGTGAATAAGAAAGGTCATAATAGCAATGTAGTTTCAGGACTAAAACGTTCAGGTACAAAGAAAACACCTGAAAAAGCTCATCTTGACACACTTCGTAGAAGAGAAAGGCGTCAGCGAAATCGAGCATTTTTACTTGAACAAAGTAAAGAATTAGATCGATTAAGTGATAATCGTTTTAATCTTCTCTCTGTAACGGATGATGAAGAAACTGATAAAGATCTTTCAGAGATTGATAATGAAATAGAAACCATGAAAGATAATGAACAAAGAAACTTGTCGAAACAAGAAAAACAAAATGCTGGCACACGTATGAATGTAGTCAGTAAGAAGAGACAAGTTAAAACAACAACAGAAGTTCTGATAAATAACGAACATGTTGTAAGTAATAAAACAAACACGCGAGGAAATAACCAGCATCAAATAAACGTATCTAATCCTGAAATGGAACAAAATAATGTCGAACAATCATCGACTACTAAAGATAAACGAAAAATTAAAACATATTTACAAGGTTTTAAGATTCTCGCTTATCTCAAAGGTCGAGCAAATAATGATCATAAATTGAAATTCGATTTAAAAGATGCTTTCAATGAAGTATGTGCATATGCAAAGAATACTATTGAAACATATGATAAATGGGTACATGATCATTATGAAGGGCAAGTCTGGCAACGATTCTATGATCTAGGTAAACATAAAGATCATTGGGCTAAAGAAATAGTTAATATTACACATACACAGGAGGCTAAAACAAATATAGTACTATGTGAAAAGAAAATTTCACATTTTACATCGGCATGTTTCGATGCTAATAACATCATCACATGAAACATGAGAGAATTATCAGCCACCGTTATTGCTAATAGAGCACATGATCTTATGCTCGATTATATTAAAGAAGTTACACAAGGTTTATCAAAAATGAGTATCAATAGAATTCGTCGTGCTTCAATTGAAAAAGACGAATGGGATGCTCTAAAAGCATTTGAAAATGTTGCACCAGAACAACAAAAAATCTATGCTAAAACCTTCTGTAAATCAGCATTAAAAGCCTATGAAAAGAAAAAGAAAAATTTTGATTTGGTTGCTGCACACATATCATCATATGATATAATACCGAAAATCTTACAACAAGATGATGTTTTTAATCTTCTAGTAGACGAAAATTCACTTTCAAGTGAACAAGTCCAGGACAATAAAGAAAACATACATAAGATATCAAGAGATTTTCGTCTTAAAGCAACAGAACTCTATCTGAAAATCGTCAAAGAAGAATTTGAATTTGACAAAGAAAGATTAGAAAAACTTCTTGAAGATTTTCCACAAGATAGTGATGAAGTGCTACCATTAACACAAATTGTTAATGATGAAGAACCTTTTGATGATGAGGAAAATATTAATAATAATAACGACGACGATGAAGAAGAAGAAATATTTACTCAAAGACCACTACCGCCAAGACGGAAAAGTTGGTCCATCAAGTTGGTTCACAATTATATAGTAAATATATAGAAATTGCACAAAAAAGAACTCTTTTATAAACTGAAAGAGAAGTGCAGTTTTTAGCCGAACGCAGCGTCAAAGAGACGCCCTTCGTCATTCGAGAAGCACGAGATTTGAATCCAGTATTACGAAAGGATTTCGTGCTCCAAGCATAATTAATCAAACTAATATAAAATTAAATAGGAGAGAAGAGGTCCTCCTAAAACTAGGCCCTAAATACGTACCAAATAATCCTCATCTCGCTCATACACGAAAAGAAAACGAGATAGAATTGGTCGTAAAGAAGATAAATAAAATCTTTGTTGAACATGGATGGGTACTACCAAAGCAAAGGTTAGAAATTTTTATAGATTCGCTTGAAATGATCTTGACCGATTGTTATAATAGATACCCTTCATCAATTCAATTAAAAGAAATTAATTATTTACAGAAAAGAATTGAAGCTACACAAACAGTCCTTAGAAAGACTGATAAATCTAAAGTTTTCCATTTAGGAAAATTTGATGATTACAAAGAGAAAGCTCAAGCATATATGATCAAAACTAAAGCATATCAAGATTTGGGTACCAATAATCTACTTGAATCTCTGGTCGAACGTACGAATGAGTTCATTTTTGGTTTATGGTACAATAAACATATAACACAAAAACAATATGAGAAATTAAAGGTTAATAAAGAAGAAGCTGAATTAGCTCACCTTTATTTCTTACCAAAATCACATAAACCAGGAACACCACTAAGACCTATAATGTCTGGTCTTAAATCTCCTACTATAGCTATATCGAGATGGTTAGATAGTCTTCTAAGACCTCTATTCGATCGATTAGCAAGCGAGAATACTATCGAAAATGGAACTCAATTAATTAAACAAGTTGAAAAATGGTCTGCTAACTATCTCACACCAGCCACATCATTTATAACGATGGATATGACCGATCTATATACGATGATTCCACAGGAAGGAGGAATAGCAGCCATAAAAAAGCTGATAGAAGCATCGAATTTAAAACAAATCGATGGCGTTAAAAAAGAGATCATATTGGCTCTCGCCAGATTTGTCATGACTAATAACTATTTTTATCTAGACGAATCATATTATAAACAAATAAGAGGTGGTGCAATGGGCTCACCACTCACCTTAATCATAGCCAATGCCTATATGTATTTTATAGAACGGCCAATTAAAAAATGGGCTAAAAAGACATGTTCATTATATTATAGATATATTGATGATCTATTTATCATGTCGAATGTACATGTAGATATACTTAAAGGTCTAGTGCGCTTCTGGAACAGACTCGATAGTAATATCGTTTTGACAGAATTCATTGGACATACTGCAGAGTACTTAGACTTGAAACTAGAAAATAGAGAAGGAACATTGGTATCAAAAGTGTTTCATAAACCATCTTACGAACCATATTTTCTTCCTTTCACAAGCATACATGCAAATCATATAAAAAAGAATATTCCATTTGTCGCTCTTCTACGAGCAATAAGATATTCTTCTACTTATAAGATTTTTAAGCATGAGGAAGACCCTTATTTGTATGTCATTGTTACTGAACAAATATCCGATAGATTATGTTCTTAAACAATTTGAAAGGGTCTTTCAGACATTTCAATGTCAAAGATCCAAAAGAGAAAACTATTCGAAGGTAAGAAGAATCTTTCTAGATACCTCGAATAAGAATGCAAAGAAGGCTGCAATCGACTTCAATATTAATATTATGTGCAACTTTATTTTTTGTAAAGGAATGCAAGATTTCTCGTCTCGTTTCCATAAACTATGGGACGATTGTTTTTCGGATACAGCCATTTGTAATATGAAACCGATCGTTGGTTCTAAAAGATTAGATAACCTGCAAGATTATCTTGTAAAAAAGAAACCGAACAGATCTTTTCTTCATATTTAAAGACTCATACTTTTCCGATCAATCCATCAACACTGGACAAAAATAAAATGGAATGTCTTCAACAGCCACAACGACGACAGTATACTTATCGCGTTTTCGGCAATCGAACAACAGTTTCCATCGTATAACATTTTTCTATTTTGTTTTTCAACAGTAGAGAGGTTTTTTCGGCCATCTATAATTTTTTCCTCTCCAACAGGGCCCTTTCGGCTCTCTGGAGTTTTTTCTGTAGAGTTTTCTGTAAAGTTTCCTTTTTTGTAGATTCGGATGACGTCAAGTTACAACTTGATAGAAACTAGTCAATAAAATTTTACAAAAGAAGAAAAACGTTATTTATCTCGAGAGAGTATATTGGCAAAAGATAGATTATATCTTTATAAGAATAATCGACTACTCTTTTTCAGTCGGAGTAGAAGAAAACATTTTACATGGAAATGGAAGAATTAGGAAAAAAACCTATGTTGACCAGCAGAATCAAAATAAAAAGATTGAATAAAAACGGACTTCCTTGTAATTGTAACGCTTCTCATTCAATATTCGCTAATTCTTTTTCGATCAAACTGATATCAATCGATAAAGAAATGTTTGTGCTACTCCGAGACATAAATCATACCTTTATACGATGTCTAGAAATTGAGTTGCGAAAAATCTACTAAAGAAGCTTTTTAACCGACAGATATAGATCTCAGCACTCTATTTTTTTCTTAACAATATACAATCCACAGTTTCGATTGTTTTAAATCATCTACTTTGCAAAATTGCATCTTATCATCTAAGACGATTTATAGTTCACCGTAACGGCAAATGGTAGTCGCCATACTGCAAATCATATTGCTAGTCAAAAGACCAGACTCTTCTATAATTACCCTAATTGAAATATTGATTTGATAATACAACAGTAACAGAGAGAGTTTGTAGAAGGCTATAAAAATAACAAATAATGTATTTCATGGAAACCAAATATGAATCACTTCTTGATTGAAATAGTATTTTTTATTTCAAAACGTTCAAAATTGATCGACAAAATGATCGGATTAAAACGTATTTAATATTGAAGATACAGTCTCTGATTTATACAAGAGCAGCTCTTGCGTTATAATGTAGGAACGCCTACGACCACTTATCGTTCAAATAATTACTTTTTAGTCGTATCGATTCATATCCATTCGGAACAGCATCAACTATACTTCTGACATATAGAAAATAAAATAGCGTTTAAATAATATAATCATTCTACGTTTTGTTTCTTATCTTGTTTGATGAAACGATCGTTCAAGAACAACGAGCATACGTGATGACGTACTGTTAATATTAAAAAATGATTAAGTGAATCGTTCTTGTTTTGTGTTCATGTCTTTTTGAAGAGTGACAAAACTAACGAGTATCATGTATTTCAAGTTTCAATATTCAATAAGAGTATTTGCCGTGTATATTGGTATTATAATTAAAAAATAGTTTATTGAAACAATATGCATTATTTCATCGAATTGCTTCGCTAATTAAAAAAAATCCCTAATGCTTATAGTAAATTTATTTTTTATTAGTTGAAAATCGATTTTAACGATATATGGAAAATAAAATCAAAGAATTATGCCGCATAGAGATGAGCTACCATCATACACAAAAATTAGTGTCCACTTATGAAGAGAAAAAGAGAATGATGTACATGGAGATTAAATTAAGCATGTAAAACAATCAATAGTTTAATCAATCAGTTTTCATTTAACTTAGACTGTATTCAGCTATCTCTTAGAAAATTAGCTCACGTTCGGTTCGTTTTCGCTTTCTGATATTTATTTAAAGAGATAAATCAAATAATCAACAAAGTAAGCTGGTCGATAATCACCGTCATTTAAGATTATCATCGATTTTGGTTTCAAATCATATAAAAGATTTTTAAAATAGTACAAAACAATCAGTCGTTGATTTTCATGATTGTTATTTATACAGGTCAAACTGATTGTTTCATTGTGAAAAAGGGGATACTAGTTGTACATGTCTTGTATTCAAACTAGAATATTTGTAATCGATCAGATACAGTATTCACTAATATCGATGTAAACAACATGATTCCATTGTCTTCAATAATCCTAATTATCCATTTTTATCATTTCCCATAGAAATTTGACTATGATTATGAGGAGATAGATATTCATGAAATTAATAGAATGAAACGATTTGACTTCTTGAACTAACTATCATAATTGATTAGTGAGATTAACAATATGAAGTTCAATGGATGTTTTGAATTAACTTCTGACAATAGATCATTCACACAACAATTCACTTCGAAACATTCTACAAACACAAAAAAAACATTCGATGAAGTCGATGAAAAGAAAAATAGATTAATAAGCGTATTGTATAATAGTGAGCGAATACAGAATATCTTTCATGATATTTTACACTGATCCTTAGCATAGATAATTGAATCTTGAGTGCTGATGATAAAGATTTTCAAACCTTTGAGTAGATATCTTGCTGTCTAATCTGTATTTAATATTTATAAATATTTATATGAACATTTAGTAAAGCTTAGCTTTTATGAAACGCAATATAACAAAAAAAAGAAGCAAAAAGAGTTCAGTCCATGTAAACAATTCAATAAATTGAAAAATATCTACTTATAGAAAATAATTTTATCAATTTCCAATAAAAATTTCTACTTTTAAAAATTTCAATTTTAAAGGCAGCTAATTGAGGAAAAATGAGAACATACAACAAACACATCAGAATGTAATGATCCTCCTACATAATCGTAAGTCATTTTTGAATAGAGTCGAAAAAATTTCAGATATTTCTTATGGATGAATTCAAATATTCATTTTACCTCACTAAAATTATCCCTTGATTTTTTCGTATATTGAAGATAATCGCCACACAAATTTAAAGCACCTAATGTAACAGATTCACAAATAATTATGCGCGTGTGGTCAAGAATGAACGTTGAACGATGATATCACTCTAAATCAAACAAGAATAAGGCGTAGATAATATTTGATTAAAATAACTACAATGAACGATTACACACAATGTGCAAAAGCTAAAAATGACCGAAACCAATTTTAGTTTGCTGATCTCGGTAGTGTACACCAAGAGCGAGACTAGATGATATAAATGTCTTCTTAAAATTTTCACATTTTTCAGCGTATTATATTTTGATTACATCATTTTCTGGTTGAATTAATCAAAATAGACATATTTTAAAAACACCTCGAAACAAAATACAAATAAAAATAAATGTAGAAGCCTCGAGTTTAAATCCGAGTATTATGTGTACTTCAAAAAGTAAAAACACAAAAGCAATTTCCGTTTAAGTATCTTTTGCAATAGATGACTTAGCCTTCTTGTTTCTTAATGTTTTATATACCATTTTGTAGCTCGTGAAATTCTCTATCGAATGGTATATAATAGTTGGGATTTTGTTTGATTATGAGAGGAAACGTTTTTTACGAAAAGCCGGATAGGTCAATGTTCGCATAGAAAAGCATAGGAAATAATGACTCTTTTTCCGATAACTCAGCAATTGCTCGACGAATCATTCTCATCTTCGAACTCGACCGAGATATTGATGAGACGAAACTATGAAGGAAATTTCATCACGAGCGGACTCTCCTTTAGAAAGTTATCGTGTAAACGGCCGGGCACACTGACCGATTCTATAGTGTACTCACTTTTTGAGTACACAAAAACGTATATTTTCATTGTTTCCGTCTGAACAATGCTGACACCAGACGCGTCTTTCTTCTAACAAAAAAATAAATTTCTTTCATGCAAATTCTACACAATTCTATATTTAATTTCTTGCTCAGATCATAAACTTTAGTTCTTGTGAAGATCAGACAAGTATTCGAGACGACCACTGGCAAGAATACGATCTTCAATCATGATGTATCTATGTGAATAAGTAAGACTACTGAATGTGCATAGTATGCAGCTATTTATTTCATTACAAATCAGTACCAAAAAATAGATAAATTAAACACAAAGAAAATATGCATTCCTAAGAGTCATTATTAATTTTCAGGTCGCATTCCGGTTGTAAATATGTATGCCATAGACGGCCTACGTAAATATATAATTGAAGTTCCATCTCTTCTCGCTTTCGAAAATTGAGTACGTACATAATTTTTTATTTAATCAATAGCTCATAGAAAAATGGATTGTGTTCACAACTGTTGAAGGGGTTACTTTGTTATTGGCGTTTTAGAGAGTTATTCGTAAAAAAAAGTCAAGAAACAATGTCAGAAAGTAACTGATTTAATTTTTGATATGCTTATAGTGATTTTATTTCTTGTCATTGCGCAAGATCGAGCAAAACATTCTTTCTAAAATAGTACCCTTTACAACATATATACCCCTGGAAAGTAAAAGCTGGACATGGTATTTCGAATCTATTGACACTCGAGAAGAACATTTTGGAAAACTTAATTATACCATTTGATAGCCCTTGGAGTTCTCTATCACCCTCTCTATTTTTGTCTTCGTTTACAGTTAAACATTACCAAAATAAATTGAGTGCAATGAAGGTACCCTTATGTCCAGATTCTCACAGATTGGATTTTGTCTCCTCAACTAGTTCTCCAGCTATAGAAATACATTTCCAAAAAAGTAATTATATATTCTGATAGAGCTTGAAATTCTCTATCAGCCCATATATTTATCTATTGCCTTATATTTGTTTGCTGAAAAATAATTTGAATACAATGAACGCCTCCTCAATTGACAAGTATACAAAATCCGCATTTTTTCGTTGTTTTTTTAGTTTCTTTCGCAAATTATTTTCATATAGGAATAAATTTTTCCAAAAAAGAATTGTACATTCTGATAGAGCTTGAAATTCTCTATCATCCTATATATTAATATATTG